GTGGTTACGAGACTATTATGACTCCAGCTTTTTTTTTCAGTTTCAGCGTAATTTTTTTGGATTATTGTCAGTCCCATCCTACTTGTCACCAATACAGTAGGTGTGTAATGTGCACTTTCAAAGTTATGATAAGATTTAATAGATCCAAATCTTACTACTAGTACTCTCAGCAAAGAATCAGTCAGAACCGCATCTATAGATAGAGCACACAATAGTGGAAACATTTTTCCCTGTCGGTTAGGGCTATTTTTCAGATAGACCAATGTTTTATTTTGAGATTTCAGGTGTGACAGTGGGTGGTTGGAGGGTGCCACTGGTAGGTCTTACTTCTTCACACCTTCCCTCTGCTGTTTCTGTTTATCTTACTGTTTCCCAGCACTAAATGACCATTATTGTGTCTATGTGCTTGTCTTTACTCAAACAAACAAACAGACAAACAGGTGTGACACTTTTTGCTACATATTGTTGTTCTTATGGTGGCAGCATGAAGGTGACCTCTTGACAACTCCGTGCCACTGATGAATGTAATAATAGGGGAATGAGAAGATGTTTGAAAATTCTTTTTTTGTGGAAGTTAATGTTTTCTTTGAAGGAGAGTAATAATAATAAGGGTGACCTTATTTAGGCCACATATGGCCTAAATAAGCTAAACCCCCCTCCTTTACGATGTATGCGATTGGTTTTTAAAAACTCTCTTGCAAGTCTGAGTCACGGAATGGAGGTTTTGGTAGTAACCTTGTAAACATTCCATTGCAATATTGAAATTGAAACAGATGTAGACAGATAATAATAACATTAATTGTTTAGGCTAACTGAAATTGTATTATTGTTACCATGGCATTATCTTCATGACTCATAGTGTGTTTTGCTTTATCACTTCACGCAACACCCAAAAGATCTGTGCCCATATTTTTCCATCCACTGTTTTTCATCTTGAGGGCAACTATATTCATTGGTGAATGAATGAACAGTTGAATGCATGCCTATGTATGCGGTGGTGTAAATCAGTGTAACTTAAGTAGTTAAGTCAGCACAAGGGGGCTCAGTTGTTGTCGGGTGCTATATGCTTGGGGACACAGCTACAAACACACGCACTCACATATGCGCAGGCATACACATACACATGCGCGCGTGTGCGCTCATACACCTACAGGCGCACACACTCACACACACAGACACACACACACACGTGTGTGTGCGCAGGCACACATGCACACACGCACACAAGGCCCACGAGTACACGCACACACATGATTCAAGAGTGATGAATGTGCTGAAAAGCTTTATGATAACCTAAGGTGCCTGCCCAACACACAAATTTGTGTTGCAATATATGTATATGTATCAGGACACTGTGGAATCAGACGCTCATCAGTTTTGGGCTTATGGAGTTATTAGTATCATCTTAAAGCTTGTTCATTTGTCTTGCATTTGGGGAAAAAATACCCTTCTATCTTAAATAGAAGTCAAGATATTTGCCATTGAAGGAGGTGGGGGTAGCCTGATGTCAGAAATAAGGTTAGCGAGAAATGGCTGCCAAAGTTTGGTGTCCTTGAAAATTGATAATTTACATTTTTTGTGCTTTTGATGAGCGTTTATCAGAAAAATCCACACAGAAATGTACTGTAGAATGTATTGAGCGAAAAAAGAAAATTTTAAAAAAAGTTGCCCTACAGCCAGAAAAATGCTGATTTCCTTGATTACATTATTTTGATGAGCGCCTGATTTCACCACACTGCCTCACATTTATAGAATACCACTCTCCTGAGTCCATACAATACAGTAGGCCTATAGCCCGGATAGGTTGAACACAGAAGACTCGAAATCACGCATCTGTCGAACTGTGCCTGCAGTCCTGTTTTTTTTTCTTTCTTCTTTATCTTTGTAAGATATCCCTCGAACTACGGATCCCTCGAACTACAGAGGCCGGGCTTGACGAATTTGAGCTGTCTGTGTTATTGTACTGTAAAAATAGATTCTTTTGCTTCATTTGACCTAGTTACTTATGACATTATGACCTGATTACTTATTCTACTTTTAAAGTGGCTTGCTCCTTCTTTCCTGTTAAACATCTATCATCCTCATCTCCCCTCCTTCTATTTTGTATTTGTTACTCTTTTGTAACACCTCTAATCTTCTGCACTTATATGACTTTATTGTGTTGCAAGTGCCGTAAAACACTTGCTAAAATGAAAAAAATCCCAAAACTTTAATAATGAGTGATTTCATCTATCTGCTCACGACATTTATTGGAT